TCTCCATTAATCTGTATATCACCATGTAGCTTTGGCTTACCAGGTAAAATTCTATCCCCAGCATCTGTCTCTGGCAGGCCTACATGGAGTCTTATGACTCCACCTTCTTTCTCCCAGTATTCAGTTTAGTTTTCCCTGCTTAGCTCTGTTCTTTCCTGCTATAGCCCTATAAAGCAGTTTCTTTATTAACCAGTGGTAATCGCAGCATACAGAGGGGAATCCCACATCAAGTAATCTTTCCATTTGTAGGTAACATATTCAGAGAAAGTAATGCATTATCTATCCTATCTTAGTGAATTCAAAGTTTTACTCCTAACGTATTTTCTATCCTAAGGAAAACTGCAACTATAACTAAGTAGGCTTCAAATTCATCAAAGACTCAGAAAGATGTGATATTATCTAAAATCAGAGACATTTGGCTTGCTGGACAATCATCCACAGTTCCTCTGAAATGTTGGGGCAACCAACTTCATTTAATAGGCCCAGAATATCTGGTAAATTTTTCAGTGAAGCATGAAATTCAAAGGAATATCTTGCCTTGTACTCACAAAGTTCATCAGTTGCTTTCTTACATGTCTTGGGGAAAATATGGTATATCCTTCTGTAAAGCCAGAATTATCCTGTCTTGTTTTGGCAAAGTTAGACAGTCTATTTCTGTGTGTCCTGCATTTCCTGTCTGTATAGCACATTATGAGCAGTCAAAGGCAAGAGCAGTTTCTTGCCTAGTAGCTAGTCTTATCACAATGAAAGCAAACTCCAATGGAGTTTTTCAATGTCTGGCATCTCTGAAGTAATAAAATGATATATTTCATAGATTTTTGAAGTGCTTGAAAACCATTTGTCTATTTAATGTACATGTATATGAACTTGAAAACATACTTAACGTTCAAAATTGATTATTATAACTGACTATATACTAACCTGTGTTTTTTTCAATTATTTTGTGACACAGTGTATGTAGTTCTGGAGCTGCTCCTGCCACTCATTCTGTAGACCCGGTCTTGAACTCCCAGAGATGTACCTGCTTATGCCTTTGAAGTGCTGGGATTAGAGTTGTGCATGACCTCCTTTCACCTAACCTGTGGGTCTTTTTTATTATCCTAAATAGTTTATTATAATAACCTTAAAAAACTAGAATTTTATCTTAAATTTTTAAATGAATGGCATGGGGACAATACCTTAAACCAAAGTAGAAACGTAAATACACTGTGACAAAGTAACTTTAAATTTCTGTCAATCTGCTATATTCCCACAAATGATAACAAACATCCATAGTCCACCATATAACCGAAAGCCTCCATAAAAATCTCTTGGAATTGTAGGTGGAAAATTCTCTTGATTCTTTCCTGCCAAATGTAGGAAAAGACACCTTTAGAGTTCCCGGAGAAAAATTTGAGATAATGGAAAAGTCTTGCGAAAACCAGCTATAATATTTGTTGTTAGATTTCACAGGTCAAGTTTTTGGAGGTCGTCCCTAATCAAACCTGATCAGTATTATTCCTGATGAATTCCACAGTCTTTTGCCTCCTACAGAAACCAAAGTAAAACCTCTTCTCCAAATCATTTTTAATTTCCATTTTACATATACATTTGACTTATTTTTGAAATTAAGATAGCCTAAAGTGTCTAGGTTGATTCAGGTTGGCAGCCCTGTTTACACTTCCAAGTTTTTCATAAACTGTCTCTTGCTTGTCATACGTCAAAAAATTGAAAATCAGCATAAAAGTATACAAGATCCAGAATTCCTGTTTATTTCCCATATTACCTGCCTTCCTGTTTTATATTACTTTTACTATCTCTTTAAAGACATTATTATTTTTTGAACTATTTCTTTCTATACCTCTTATGTAAATTTTCTTGTCTTTTTTAAGCCTATGTATATTGTAAAACACACTGGAAACTTTTCATAGGTTTCTCAGTCTGTATAGCACATTATGAGCAGTCAAAGGCAAGAGCAGTTTCTTGCCTAGTAGCTAGTCTTGTCACAATGAAAGCAAACTCCAATGGAGTTTTTCAATGTCTGGTATCTCTGAAGTAATAAAATGATATATTTCATAGATCTTTGAAGTGCTTGAAAACCATTTGGCTATTCAATGTACGTATATATGAACTTGAAAACATACTTAACATTCAAAATTGATTATTATAACTGAGCCTTTTATCTGCTATGTGGCATGGACCTCTGCCATGAGTTTTGCTGCTGGCTACTCTGGGTATGAAAGCCAAGCTCACAGTCTGGTTAGAGATGTGCTTTGGGAAGTACTTTCTACCGTTGTAGCTTTAGGAAGCCAATGGTCATGCTTCTGCAGACCTTTTATTTACTTAGATTTTTTTTATGTACCTGCTGCTTAAGCATTTGCTTTAAGGCAGAAACTCTTAGAGGAGACATGAAATATGAGTCCCATGTGGTATAACAAATTTTATTTAGGTTTTTTTTTTTTTGCTGTTTTTGGGAGTCGACAACTTGGCTCCCCAATAAATAACACTGATTTTTTTATTATTACTTAGAAATATCTGGCCATAACTTGACTCCCTGTTAAATAACAAAGATTTTTTTTATTATTATTTAGACATATCTGGCCTTAGTTTAACTTGGTTTCTTGGCAGTTTTTCTTAAATTGTCATATCAACCTTTTGCCTCTGGAGTTCTATCTTCTATTCTGTATACCTTTCTTTATTACTTACTCCCTGACTTTCTGTGTAGCTGGCTGTCTGGCTTGGTATACTCTTATTTCCTTGCTTTTCCTTTGATTTCTCTTCCTACATTTTTCTTTCTGCCTGGCATCCCCTCCTATTCTTTACTGTCTATCTATTTGTCATTCAGCTCTTTTTTGACCAACCAAGTGATTTAGGCATCAAGGTATCATGGTTTCACAAAGTTGAACAAACACAGCATAAAAATGCAAAATATCCTTGCAGCATTAATACAAATGTTCCACAGCATAAGCAAATATAACACATCCTAAAAGAATATCCCACAACATGTTGAATTGCATTTTGATAATACAAAATGGTGAGATACCTAAGCTATGAGACATATTCCATGGAAAGATAGCTGCATATAGGGAATAGAAGTAACCAAAGATAAAGATGTAGGAGAAGTTGTAGGTTAGGGCCATCTAAGTCTTATAAAACTAAAGCCCCACAAATCTGAGACAGAGCTACAGGACATGATGTATGACCTGCTGTGCTTCAGTCTTTCTTGGTCCAATCTTCCCTCAGTATGTGTCCATTTTTCTTTGGGATGTGAATGGTATCCTGTTCCATTGTTTGTTGGAAAGATGTCATTGTCAAAAGATTATCTGCAGTGTCAGAGGAAACTTTGGACCTTTAAATACTATAGGTGCTGGTGTGGACTATGAGGATCATTGAAGTGACAAAAGCATTTTCGTCACTGATGACCATGAGCCTATAATGGTCTGGGTCAGAATGTAGTTGATTGAGTGAAAAACAGATAGGAAGTTGTATTTGGTCAAGTGTGTCTCCTTGGAGATTTTCTTTTGATTGGTTGTGAAACCATTAGTAGGGGGAACCTTTCTGGATAAAATTCATTATTGGGGATGTGATATGAGTCACTATTACTTCAATACATCCCCTGTTTTTTGTGTCTACTATGCTGTGGTTGAAACTAATCATCCAGGTTCCTTCTTGTGTTATCTTGTCTTCTCCACCATTATAGACTGAAACACTAAATCATGAAAGGTTTAGTAGAAGTAGTTGCTATTCAGTGCTAATGCAGTTTGGTAGCTTGCTTTTTAAAATTATTTTCTTTGTATATTTTTGAAGTAAAGGTTTGTCTATGTAGACCTAGCTGTACTAAAAGTAGTCCTGTACACCAGGTTGGCCTCAAACTCAGATATCACTTGACTCTGGCTCCCAAGTTCTGGGATTGAAGGTGGACCAACATTCCTGGCTTTTTGGTTTTGATATTATTGGATAATTTTGTCACCCATATCTTGAATTTTTAAAGTTTGGCAGAGGGATTCAGTATATTTCCAAGCAGGGCATTTATTCATGGCATTAATACTGTCTGAGCCTTCTGAGTCATTGGATTGCAGGTACATCACCTTTTTCCAGCTCCTGTGTTAATTTTGAAACTTTTATTGGATATGAGTAACTGTATGCATGAATATGTACCATGTGGTTACATGGTTCTTACAGTGATAAAAAGCTGGTCGCAGAAACCCTAAATTTGAAATAATGGGTAGTTGTGATCCCCCATTTAAGCTCCAGTAAATGAGCCCACCTATAAACAAGACCAGTGAGGACTCTTTAATATTAGGGCATCTCTCCTACCCTGTGTTGATTTTTTGTGATCAACATTTGTATTGTTAAGGTTTTAGTCTGTTCCTTTGTAAACTTTTAAACTTGCACTGCCTTTTAGTAAAATTTTATTCATGTTACAGTTCTAATTGGGACACATCAGGTTTCTGGAAGATGAACACAGAACTGGAATGAATGCATAACTCTTTGTAGAAACTTCAATGAAAACCCCATGTTCTTTCTATTGTTTCTGATTGACTGATTTTTTTCCATGGGAAATGGTCTTAATATGTACTTCTGACTATCCTGGAAGAGATTGCATACACTAGGCTTATATTCAACTCAGAGGCACATATATACACTCCTGTGCTTTCTGATTAAAGGCATGAGCAAATGCACCCAGCTTGCCCATCTTATTTTTTGTTTTTTTTTTAAGTAGGAATTAATTGTTCATAAAATTTCTCTCTTGTACTCTGTATTGTTGATCTGTTTATTTGTCTATGTTTTATAATAAACATTTCTCTTACAAGGTGACACCCCATTCAAAGGATAGAGAAATGACAGAGGTGAACCTCTTAATCAGTTTCCCTTTAAAGTGACTTGGTGATTAAATTTTGTCTATGCTATGGACTATCTGATGGGATTACCAGAAACTTTTGACTGTAGTGTCAAAGAAGTATATATGTAATATAGTCAGTGTCGTGCTTTCTTTTATACACATGTATGGGATATTTAAGAATGCAGTTACCTATGGTGATGTGCATGTTGACTTCACTTGGGAAGAATGGGCATTGCTGGAACCTTCCCAGAAGAATCTCTACAAAGATGTGATGCTAGAGACCTACAGGAACCTCACTATTATAGGTAAGCTGGACTTTTCCATTACAATTTAAAATAAGGGGACAACCATTCATTAATTATTGATGCTGTCCTGTAATTTGATTGAGAAAGAAGAATGGAGTGAATAAATCAAGCAGTGTTTGAGGTTCATTAAAGGTAGTAATTGAAATTTTGCACAATTTTTAATAATAAAACATGCATTTTCTGGTATTATATTTTAGGATACAATTGGGAAGACCATACTATTGAACAACATTGGCAACATTCTACAGGGTATGAAAGGTAACTTTCATGAGAAAGTTGATACAAATGTGCATCTGAAGAAATTTTATTGTGTCCTGGAAGTTTTTATCAAAAGCAATAGTGTAAATAAGAACAGTTTAAAGTGTATCACTGATTATTAAATTCTCACAAAACTATAAAGTGCAATTTCAGGTAGGTGAATTGCATACACAAGGCATTCTTTATGAAAGAAGTCAAGGAAACGATGCCTCAGCTGATAATCTCTATACCACATATCTATAAGTACAGAAAGTCATACTGTGTGAATTCAATATTGAAGTCTTTTATTTATTATTCTTCTTTTACTTAGTATATCATATGTCACTATACAGTCAAGTCATCTGAGCATATGTATATAGAAAGGCAAAACATACTTCTCTCTCAGAACAATTAGAAGAATCATAGCAGTCTCCATGTTAATTATACTTGTTGAGTTTGATTCAAGTATACAAGTAATTGGTTTTCCAATTTCATCATTAATGCATCAGCAAATACACATTGTAGAAAAGCTACATCAGTAATAAGACTTTGTAAATACTTTTGTTTATCCTAGGTCACTTAGCAAATGTCATATCACTCACAGAGTAGGAAACTTCATGAATGCAATAAGCATGGTAAAACTCTGAGTTTTTCCAGTTCTCCTCATATATTTGCATTATCATGTATATAAAAAAGTTTCTGTAAATATGAACCATGTAAAAAAGTATCTTACAATCAGAAGTATCCTCAAAGATGCAAAACAACCCTTAATAAAGGGGAACAACCTGAGTGTATTCACAGTAATAAAACCATAAGATCTAATTCTTCTTTATGATTAGACCAAATTGTAAAATTAATTCTTATAGATATAAACATTTAACAGTGTATTGAATATAATAATGCTTATACATGTTCCATTATACTTACAGGCAGAAAAAAAGTCAAACTGGAGAGAAACCTTCTTTATCTACTCAGTGTCTTAAAGCCCTTGGATATAACAGTCGTCTTCAAAGGCATGAAAGAACAAATCCTAAAGTGAAACCGTATGAATGTAATCAGTATGATAAAGACTTTATACATCACAGTCGTCTTCAAATGCCTAATAGAACACATACTGGAGAGAAAGCATATGGATGTAATGAATGTGATAAAGCCTTTACATGTATCAGTCATCTTCAAAGGCATATAATAAGACAAACTGGAGAAAAACCTTACGAATGTAATCAATGTGGTAAAGCTTTTGTATGTCATAGTCATCTTCAAAGGCATATAAGAACCCATACTGGAGAGAAACCCTATGAATGTAATCAGTGTAGTAAAGCCTTTGTATGTATCAGTGATCTTCAAAGACATATAAGAACACATACTGGAGAGAAACCCTATGAATGTAATCAGTGTGGGAAAGCTTTGGTAAGTCAAAAAAGTCTCCGAACACATGAAAGAATGCATACTGGAGAAAGACCTTACGAATGTAATCAATGTGGTAAAGCTTTTGTATGTCACAGTCATCTTCAAAGGCATAAAAGAACCCATACTGGAGAGAAACCCTATGAATGTCATGAGTGTGGTAAAGGCTTTGCATGTATCAGTGATCTTCAAAGGCATATAAGAATACATACTGGAGAGAAACCCTATGAATGTAATCAGTGTGGGAAAGCCTTTATAAGTCAAAAAAGTCTCCGAACTCATGAAAGAATGCATACTGGAGAAAGACCTTACGAATGTAATCAATGTGGTAAAGCTTTTGTATGTCACAGTCATCTTCAAAGGCATAAAAGAACCCACACTGGAGAGAAACCCTATGAATGTCATGAGTGTGGTAAAGCCTTTGCATGTATCAGTGATCTTCAAAGGCATATAAGAACACATACTGGAGAGAAACCCTATAAATGTCATGAATGTGGTAAAACCTTTACAAGGCAGGGTTATCTTTACATTCATATAAGAATACATACTGGAGAGAAACCCTATGAATGTAATCAGTGTGGGAAAGCCTTTGCATGTCACAGTTATATTCAAAAGCATAAAAGATCCCATACTGGAGAGAAACCCTATGAATGTAATCAGTAAGTATCGTAAAGCCATTTGCCCATCACTCTTCCAAAGCATAAAAGGACACATAACTCGAGAGAAGGACTGTGCTTGTAATCATTATGGTAAAGGATTTGGTCATCATAATACTGTTCAGCAGCATAAAAGGACACACACTGGAGAGAAATCCTATGAATTTTATCAGTGTGGTAAAGGTTTGTCATATCACAGTCAACTTCAAGGCATAAAAGAACACATACTGGAGAGAAACCCTATGAATATATGTATTAATACTTCTGCTCATTGTGGAGGCCTAAAATTGTGAGCCTGTAATCAACCCAATTATAAAATGGGGCACTGAGCTGAACAGAGAATTCTCAACAGAAGTTCAAATGGCCAAAAGACACTTAAGGTCATGCTCAACTTCCTTAGCAATGAGGAAAATGCAAATCAAGACAACTTTAAGATACCATCTTACACCTGTCAGAATGGCTAAAATAAAAAACACCAATGATAGCCTTTGCTGGAGAGGTTGTGGAGAAAGGGGTACACTCATCCATTGCTGGTGGGAATGCAAACTTGTGCAACCACTTTGGAAAGCAGTGTGGCGGTTTCTCAGGAAATTTGGGATCAACCTACTCCTGGACCCAGCAATACCACTCTTGGGAATATACCCAAGAGATGCCCAACCATACCACAAAAGTATATGCTCAACTATGTTCATAGCAGCATTGTTTGTAATAGCCAGAATCTGGAAACAACCTAGATGCCCTTCAATGGAAGAATGGATGAAGAAAGTATGGAATATATACATATTAGAGTACTACTCAGCAGTAAAAAACAATGACATCTTGAATTTTGCATGCAAATGGACGGAAATAGAAAACACTATCCTGAGTGAGGTAAGCCAGACCCAAAAAGAGGAACATGGGATGTACTCACTTATATTTGGTTTCTAGCCATAAATAAAGGACATTGAGCGTATTATTCGTGATCCTAGAGAAGCTAAATAAGAAGGTGATCCCAAAGAAAAACATAAGCATCCTCCTGAATATTAACCATCAGGCGAAGAAAGGAGACAGAGACCCACATTGGAGCACCAGACTGAAATCTCAAGGTCCAAATCAGGAGCAGAAGGACAGAGAGCACAAGCAAGGAACTCAGGACCGCCAGGGGTGCACCCACACACTGAGACAATGGGGATGTTCTGTTGGGAACTCACCAAGGCCAGATGGCCTGAGTCTGAAAAAGCATGGGATAAAACCAGACTCTCTGAACATAGCTGACAATGAGGACTACTTAGAACTCAAGAACAATGGCAATGGGTTTTTGATCCTACTGCACATACTGGCTTTGTGGGAGCCTAGGCAGTTTGGATGCTCACCTTACTAGACCTGGATGGAGGTGGGTGGTCCTTGGACTTCCCACAGGGCAGGGAACCCTGATTGCTCTTCGGGCTGATGAGGGAGGGGGACTTAGTTGGTGGAAGGGGAGGAAATGGGAGGCGGTGGCAGGGAGGAGGCAGAAATCTTTAATAAATAAATAAATAAAAATTGTGAGCCTGTTAACAATTGATTAAAGGTCAGAGAATTGGGACTTTCCTCTAGTTCCTTCAAAGTTATTGTGATTTTAGCTCAAACAAATGCCCCACCAACATATAGGTCCAAGAGTTCCACTCTCTCAAGGATATTTTCTACAGGCGTTTCTAATTGACAGAACTTGTACTCCAGGAATAGAGAAGTAGATCTCTTCCTACCTCAAACAAATTCTAAGGATTCAACTAAGTTCCAGTTTTCTTTATGAAGAAACTTGGGATTCTACTGAGGGAATGGTTTTCCTACAGAATGTTTTGGTCTAAGGTGTAAGCATGACTTGTTTTGTTCTATCAACATAATTTTTAACTGTGCATGTAGCTCATAAATTTCAGTTAATACTAGTTCATTTCCTTGTACTATGTTAAAGAAGTCTTTTGTCTTACTCCTACATTTTGGGGTCAAGGATATTTTAAGCAGTTGGAAATTAAATGCAGGTGAATTTTCAGTACTCACTGGAATTCCCTTCCAATACTACCTTATGTGTTTCTCCATTTTATTCTTTTCATTTGTGTCTTCATATTCTTATTATCTACTATAGTTCTATTACTGACACCTTTACCCTTAAGAGAGGTTTGTTTTTTGTTTTTTTTTTTTCTCGACGCTGGTCCCAGACAGCTAATCACAGTCACCTTCAAGAGATAAATGAAAATACACTGGAAAGAAAGTATATGAATGCAATCATTATGGTATAGCCTTTGCATGTATATCTTTAATATCATGAGGTAAAATCATACTACAGATAAACCCTGTAAATGTAGTCAGTGTGCTAAAGTTTTGCACTTTATAAAGGAGTGAAACTTTTTGTGTGCAGTTAATCTGTTTTTATATTCATTTTCATATTACAATAGTCTTTGCCTACCTGAAAAAGATACTGAGGTCTTATTATAAAATACCTGTTTAAATCTTTATCCAACACAAATATAATCAGTTACAGAAGAGTATTAATTCTGTAGAAAAGTTTGACAGTGTCAAAAAAGTTTTCAAATATTATGATATCCATTTTTATATTCTAAGTACTCACATACTCATGGAACAAATGAATATATGAAGACCTATGTGTAGGGCAAAAGGGCCAGACCAAAAAAAAAAAAAAAAACAAAAAAAACACACACACACCCTAAACCTGAAAGCAGAGCCAGTGAAAGACATTTTCACCACCCTAAACTTGGAGCCAATGAGACACACCCTGACTCTTAAACCAGAGCCACATAAACACTTTCAGCCCCTGTATCTAGAGCCAGTGAAAGAAACACCCTGACCCTAAAATCAGACCCAAAATGTGGAAAGGGGCCATTAAAAGAAACACACTTTGTCTCTGAAACTAGATCCAAATAAACACTCTACCCTTGTTCAACTGATCACAAAATCAACTAATCCCTGAGCTCAAAACCAACCAATTGCAGAGTCCCAAATCCAGTAAGTGTCTGCAACTTTTAACACTCAGGGAAAATCTTCTACCAGGAAAATCTCTGCCCATTTATAAGCCCTGTTTCTAATCAATCGGCAGCTTCTCTTTTCTACCCTGGCAGAGGTAGCCGGTCTTCTGAATTAATCCCTTTTAAATAAATCTTTTGAATGAGTTTTCTATTAAGACCTTTCCCCTGAGCAATGATAAACTCCCTAGTTGTTTGGAGTAGAGAAGCAGTGGACAACTGTGCTGGTAAACTCCCTTAAAGCAATGAAGCAGTACCATTTTGTGGGAGACTGCTATATTTTTGCAGCAGTTCCCCCCTTGCTTAAGATAAGAAGTGGCCAGATGGTAGTGGCACATTCCTTTAATCCCAGCACTCAGGAGGCAGAGGCAGGCAGATCTCTGTGAGTTAAAGACCAGCCTGGTCTATAAATGTTTGTTCCAGGACAGGCTCCAAAAAGTACAGAGAAACCCTTTCTCAAAAAAACAAAGGGGAGGGGAAGAACTAAAACCAAACAAACAAAACAAGTGAAACAAAGAAATAACAATTTGGTTTGGGACTGAGATGAAATAGACAACTTTGCTAGGAAACTGGTGGAACAAAACAGAGAAGCAATGGACAATTCTGCTGGGAACCTCCCTTAGGGGAGTTCAGCAGAGCAGCAATGAATATCTCTGCTGGGAAACTCTCTTAACCGACTGAAGTCAGGCCTAGCTGTAAAGGCTCTCTTCATGAGAAGAGAGATTGCTGCATCCTGAGGAGAGAACAAATTCAGATATAGCATGACACTCAGGATACTTTTTCCTATATATCTGTAGGTCTCCAGGATACGTTCTCATCACAGTTGTAGGTATAGCCTGACTTCTGATAGTACAGTAGGTACCTTTTTCTTCAGGGCCCTATGTAACCAGGATATCTTCCCTCCACAACTTCATTTATAGCTGGAATTCCATCATTCAGGGTGTCTTTCTCTTCACAGATGAATATAACCAGAATTTCTTCACTTCACAGGTGTAGGTATAGCCTGAATTCCAACATTCAGTGTACCTTTCTCTTTAGAGAGGTAACAGCCCAGGATACCTTCCTTCCATAGCTTCCTTCCATAGCTTCAGGTGTAGCGTGACTTCCTGACAGTCAGCATACTTTTCTTTTTTTTTTAAATATTTATTTATTTATTTATTATGTATACAATATTCTGTCTGTATGCCTGAAGGCCAGAAGAGGGCGCCAGACCTCTTTACAGATGGTTGTGAGCCACCACGTGGTTGCTGGGAATTGAACTCAGAACCTTTGGAAGAGCAGGCAATGCTCTTAACCACTGAGCCATCTCTCCAGCCCCCAGTCAGCATACTTTTCTACTCAAAGCTGTAGGTAGCCAGCATGCTTTCCCTTCACAGCTGTAGGTAAGGATACTATTTCCTTCACAAACTTCGATATTAAGGATAACTTCCCTCCATAGCTTCAGTTATAGCCTGACTTCCCAAAAATCAGGATACCTTTCTACTCACAGCTGTAGGTATCCTGGATATCTTCTCTTCACAGATTTAGATATAGACTGACTTCAAAAGTCAAGGGACCTTTCCGGATCCAGGATGCCATCCCTCTACATCTTCAGGTATAACCTGATTTTTCAACAGTCAGAGTAACTTTCTTCTCACAGCTTTAAATACCTTCCATTCACAACTGTAGATATAACCTGACTCTACATTATTCCCTCCAGAGCTGTAAAACTTGAAGTATTAATTTAAACAATCAGATAACCCTTTTGGACTTTGGCTTTCAAATATCTCTTCAATTAAATGAAATAACTAATTGAGGTATAAAATTGTGTGGATTTGTTAGTTTCTTTTCTGTTTTTGTGATAAAATGTCTAGGTCAATTTATAAAAGAGTTTCATTTGGCCCTTGGTTTCAGAGGGATACAAAAGAGGCATGGAAAAAGGAGTCAGACATGTCTGCTAAAGCAAGAAGCTAATAATTTGCATTGTTAGTCTGCAGCATTGATATATATATATATTTTTTTTTCATTGAATCCTTTGATAACCATATACAGGGTCTTTCGATCAAGTGATAGCAGGCAGAGGAAGCACTGGGATATCTTAATCATCAGATGCACACGTCATGATACCAGGCCACAGGTCTCCGGAGGCAGCTGGTCCTGGGCAGGAAGCTAAGCTGCAAGTGAGAAAGAGATGGATAGGCATGCCATGCAAAGTGAGGTTGGATATTTGTGGGTTATAGAAGGTAAGTTGGAGAAGGAAAAGAGGAGAGGAGGAGGAGGAGGAGGAGGAGGAGGAGAGAGAGAGAGAGAGAGAAACTGAAACTGGAGAAGGCGAGAAGTGGGGAGAATCAGAAACTGCCTCTTAGAGGGGGAGAGGGAAAAGGAAGAGACTCGGGTTGCAAGAAGGAAGATCTGCCTGCCTCAGCAGACGGGAGGGAGTGG